TTTCTGTCCATGAAGCAACATCCAGTGACAGAACACAATTGTATCCATCTTCTCTGCACAAACATTAACATGACTGTCTTTCCCAGAGTCGTGGAACAAATTAACTTCATGAACCAAGGTACTACTGTATTTCTGTCCATATTTGTATGAGAAGCACCATGGAGATGTTGAACATCTTCTCAAGATTGAGAATGAAAGAAATGGGAGTAACACACAGCAAGCAATACCAAGTGTTACCAGGAAGCCTACTGCTTGCTTGTCCAGAGGGCTTGTGTTTGTCAAGACAACTGACAGTAGCCTTGAGACTGTCAAGTCTTTGTAGCATTTCTTTATCAATATTAAATATTAGTCTGAGTCAATAATTCTGAGGTAATATTTTGGAAATGACCATTCATAGTTTCAGCAGTATGAATTGAGTTAAAATGATTTCTGCAGTCACTGCTATGGTGGCCAATGCAGTAATCACAATAATAGCTGCAAATAGAAATCCCAGAAAACATTTTTGTCTGATATGTTTAAGTGTTTAGGTGATTTATTCAAGATCATAATTTCCCACTGATTCTCAGTTGAGATTGTTGAGGGTCATGCTTCAGCTCATTTTCTGAGTATCAAAATGTAATATTTAGTTAAGAAATTTTATTATTTGTTAACTAGATGGCATAGGTGGGCAAAGAAATATTAAGTGTTTTAAAGGACTTACAATTATGATTAGAGGATTATATTTGGTTATCTTCTATTCCTGATTAATGAGGATGAGAATATATGAAGAGGAAATACAGATCATAACATGGTCTGTAGTATCATGAGTGAGCCATTAGAGATTATCTATATGGTGATAATTACCAATTTTAGTATGAGGGAAGAAGGGAATAACCGCCAGCAGGATTCTTGAAAGGGAAAAGTGCATGAGAGAAAAAACAGTGGTTCACAAGGCCCAGGCTTCTATAAAGGTGGGTTGCCACAGTACAGTGGTACCTCAGTTTCCAAACTTAATTCTTTCCATGATTCTGGTTGTAAACTGAATTGGAAGAGAACCACATAAAGTTTAATGTTGAAGTTATGAAGAAACTGGATTTGATTCTCATCCAATTTGATTTGCAACTAGAATCATGGAAGGAACTAACTTTATGTACCAAGATAGCGCTGTAATAAAAAGACAAAGGGTAATTCCAGGTACAATTACACTCTAAGACCATCAAATTATGGGGCCCCAGTTTCCTAGGGTTAGGTTATAAGCAAATAAATAACAGAGATTAGTGAAGGACAGGAGACTACCCCAAATCTAGACTGTCGGGATCTGTTGGGTTCTTGCTGTACCCTGGGAAAGAATGGTGGCAAGAATGAGGAAAAAAAAGACAAGAGACAAAAAGCTGGGATCAGGTGGAGGTGCTCTCTCTCAGTGAAGAAGGGGAGCTCCCCAAGAACAGTAGAGCACTTATTTATACCCTCAAGAGGTTGGTTAATTCTCATCTTGCTGTCCAGCAATCAGTTAACAAGGTACAATGGCTGTTTACATGTTTCGAGGAGCTCCCGTGTTCTCAGGCTGGCTTTGTCCTGAACATGTAATTACCTTCCAGCCTCCGTAGCTCCCAACACTAGACTACCTTTTGTAGGCACCCATGGATGAGAACATGTGGAAATGTTAGGTTTTGGAAAGTGCCTTCCAGACACAGAAAAACCTGAGACTCCCACCGTATTAATAAAGGTGTGATGGTGCACTACTTCAGTATGATGAGGTCCAGTGAAAATATGACTCATGAACCACTGGGGATGAAAGGGAACAAAATGAGAGCTAGTAATGATGTTAGACACCAAACAGAGGGGAAATTCTTCAGCCAAAAAGTACCATTCATGACATAGTAAATACCAGCCATTAGAGAATTTAATGTGGGCATGATCCCTCAGGGCACTATATCAAAAGAGGTGTAAATATATGTGTGTGTTATATCATGCCACTTACTTTTGGTGTACAGCTAAAGAAAAGCAGAATAAAAATAAAACCCTTCTACATTTGTCATGTTAGAATTATCAGTGGCATGTCATAATTGCCAGGAAAAAGTTTTCTGGAGTAAAAGGCATGCCAGTGCTCTACAGTATTTGCTCAAATTGAGCAGTAAGTTGTTTATTCTCTCCCCAGGTGGGTCTTGATGATCTGGTACTGGCTTGTGGGAAGAGTATAGAAAGATTTGGAGAAAGTAGCTGGAGAAGCAGCCCTGGAATGCTTCAAGCTATACTAGATGGGAGATTCTAGCTAAAACTCAGAATACCAGAATGTTGAAAGAAGTGCAACAGGTAAAGATCAGGTTCAGGAGGTTTCTCAGGGTTTTTTTGTTTTGTTTTGTTTTGTTTTTTTCTTTTTGAGACAGGGTCTTGCTACACAGTTCAGCCTGGCCTTGAGCTCACTTTGTAGCCCAGGCTGGTCTCGAACTCGCAACAATCCTCCTGCCTCAGCCTCCGAGTGCTGGGATTACAGGCGTGTGCCACCACACCCGGCAGGAGGTTTCTCTTGGAAAGAAGTACTCTATTGGCTATTGGACTCCAGACAATGTGTTATGGTTTAGCAGAAAATTTGTGGGCACTTTGCTCTTGTCCAGAGATTTGCCTGAGACTAAGTGTGGTGGACTATCATGGACTGATCAGTCCCACAACCTCTTAAATAAATGTACAGCAAATGGCTTAAAAAGTGAGACAATGGAAGGTGGTTTTGGGGAAGCTTGGGAAGGTCAGAACTCTCTCCAGCAAAAAGACAAAAAGCCTCACCAGACAGCCCTATATTATCCAGCATTCAAACAAAGGGGATGCCGAGGCAAGGCAGGAACTGAGCAGGACCTTGGGAAGTTAAAGGCTTCTCCAAGCAGTAAATTTTGACAATTAAGGGAACTGTCTTATCTCTAGGTTGACATTTACAGGAGGAACCAAAGAGCTGCAGCTGCAATCTTTACCTTACAAATTGAGGTCAGAGCTGAGTGTTCTCAGATGTAGCCTTATTTTGCTATTTCAGGTGTCACATCACAGGCCAATATAGGTCTCAACTTTGACCAATGGTATGGAGAGATTCACTTACTGTGTACCCACTGCCAATCTCCAAGCAAACTGACTAGGCCTATGTTTACTCCTGAGTAAACATAGAAAGCCAATTGATTAATTTTAAATCTCGCTCAGAGCTGGTTTGTAGTAATCTCCATCAGTGGACTATAATCTGGCAGAAGAAATTTCAAGGCAGTTTAATGTTGTGGTGGCATGGCTACTATTGGGGGCTTTTAGCCAGAGTTATATTAAGAATCAAAAGTAAAAGACCCAGCAGAACGATTTTAAAAGTTTTCAGTTTAACCAGAAAGTAAGCTCTAGTAAAGATGCAGTCTGTAGAGATGGGATAGAAGAGAAATGCTCAATGAAAAGCCTAGCAATAAGAAGCCAAGAATTCAGAAGAGAACAATACAAAAGATAGCCTGAGGATATCAGAAGAACCAGCAGGACTCCAGATTCTGCAGGCTTAACATCACAAAGGTGAAAAACTTTTGAGACAAGACAGAACACGATGTTCAAGAATGGCAACAGCCTACGAAAGTTGTTCCTTGGGATTTGGTTCATAGGTACTTGATCCCAACAGCCAAGAAAGAAGGAAGCCTTCCCATTACAGCTGGCAGCAGACCTTGGTGTCATCCATGTGGTGCTAGTTTTAGGTGCATGGAGAATGGAAGAGTTGTGGGGTCAGGAAGGCTTGTAACCAGACTTCACAAAAAAGGCCAGGGAGGCCAGGAAGTGTCCCCCAAAGAGGGCAGTGTGTAAAGCCGAAGGTGCAGTGATGACCTCAGAGTTGGAGAAACTAGGAACCTGGATGGTCTGAGGAAAATCACAAGGCATGAACAAAGCCAGCCCAAATGAGAAGCCATGAGAGCTACAACTACTAGTGCCACAGTGGCAGAGCCACCGAAGACTTTTGGAGCTCACACCTTGCCAAGGAATGCCTCAGATGGTGGACATGGATCTACAGGACATAATGTTTATTGTGCTGGATTTTGAACTTGCTTTAGTCCCATTCTTTTCTATTAACTATTTGGAAAGGGAATGTTTATTTTATGCCAGTGCACACTGGAAGAGATTAACTTTTCATTTGTACAGGCCTCACAGCTGAGAATTTGTCTTAAGTCTCAGAGAAGACTTTCAACTTGCACTTTTGACCAATGCTGAAAATGTTAGGACTTTAGCAATACTTAGAGATGGGCTAAGTGCCTTTTGCATAAAGAAATGTGCGATACTCTTTCCAGGGGCTAGAGGTAAGATGTTATGATTTGTGTCTCAAGGTCCCACCAAAGCCTCATGCACTCATAGGATGGCCTTTTTGGAGGTGGCTGAATCCAGAATTCTGCAAATAGATTAATGGTATGATGCTGGGATTAAGTACACAAGATTATTAAATCAGTCCACTGATTGCTTTAGCACAGTTCTGGGTGTGGATAATGGGAAGGCTCACCCTGACTGTGAGTGCACCACCCAAAAAACTGGATGGGACAAAAAGGAGGCAGGCTGGCTGTAGCACAACTTTTGCTATTTCACCAATTAATCTGCTGCTGCTTGTGGCCTCCTGCTGCTCATCCATGACCCATTTCTTCTCTGTGATGCACCTCTACCATCCACCACCCATCCTTGCAACCATCTGAATATGGACAGAAACCTCTAAAAGCTCTGATCCAAAATAAACTTTTCCTCCTTTAAACTGTGGGTGCTGGGTATGTTGTCTCAGCAATGAAAAAAGTAATTAAGTAATGGAGCTACTTTGCAGCAACCTCCATTATTTTTGTTTGTTTGTTTTTTGTTTTTTTGAGACAGGGTCTCGCTATGCAGTTCAGGCTGGCGTTGAGCTCACTTTGTAGCCCAGGCTGGTCTCAAACTTGCAATGATCCTCCTGCCTCAGCTTCCCGAGTGCTGGGACTACAGGCATGCGCCACCACGCCTGGTGCAACCTCCATTATAAAAACAACTCTTGAGGATTAAAATCTTCTCCAAACCACAATTTTAATTAGATATCTGAAAACACTTATTCCTCTATTCCGGAAGAACATTCCTTTCAATAAGTCTCTAATGACTATTTCCTATGTTCATTACACCTTTTGTTAACAGGACACCAATAATGGTTTCAGTAAGTCCATATTCAAAAACTGCTGAAGGAAATTTCAACTTGCTGATCTGTGAAATAATCTTCCAGTGAGCACCCCTAGTCAACCACCTAGTGATCAAGTCCAAGTGCACCATTTTCTCTCAGAAACCCTTAGGCAATAACAGTGCAAAAAGAAAGCTTAGTGCTCTAAAGCTCTGAGAAAATCTTAGTGAGAAAACTTAGTGCTCTAGAGCAAATACGGTATTTGCCACCTTGTCAAATTAAGGAAGTGTATGAATACATTAGCCAGTAAAATTAAGGTTCCACAATAACCTTTAATAAACACCTGCAGCTTTTTAAAACAGAGGCATAAAGAGATCAGGCAGAAAATTTCAAGTATATATTTAAAGAAAAAAAAATGTGCCCTCAAGAGTGAAAGAGGTTCATTATAGTCTGGAGATGGGAACATTTATGTATTTTTGGTGGTAGAAATCTGTGGAACTTGTGAATTACATAGTTTGAGCACCTGCAGCATTACACATTAAAAAGGAATAGTACTGTTGCCATTTAGGTTGCAACAATCTTAAAGTCAGAAGCATGAGTTTTTTGGCAAGTAGTTTACAAGTCACATTGTCAGGCCTTACCTCAGTGCTATTCTATTCAACAGTCTCTACATTTTAATTTTTATTTTTCTAAGAAAAACACTTTTTGAAACTTAAAAGACTTTAAAACTTAAATGGGCTTGGTTAGAGTATTTGGCCAGCATACATAGCAAGACAAATGATAATTAAACTATTGACTTTAAATGTTTCTTTTCCTCCTGGGAAAATCTCGGTATTTAGGGAATTAAAAAAAAAAACAAAAAACCCACTTAGTTTTAGTGTATAAATACATATATATGTTTCAAAAAGCAAAAGAAAATATTTACCTCTCTTAGTTAACTAAAAAAGGATGTTTAAGATCTACTATAATGACTTAAACTAGTAACTATAGTCTTTAAAAATGAGCTACAATAAACTTCTTCTGTCTTAATAAAAACAAAACAAAAAACCTTTAGAGAAAGGCTTCAGCTTACACAAGAAAAGTTTAACTTACAAATAGTACAATGAGTGCCATACTCACTAAAAAAAAAACTTATAACCTGGTCTTTATGAAGATCTGTGAAAGTATTACTATACAATGAGAATAAAAGAAAACTTTGAATGTCATTTAAAAAGCCAATCCTTCAAACAGTAAAATCAAATAGCTTATATATAACCATTTCAGTATAGACTGCCAATGACTCTAGAATTACTGTAGCAGTTTGTGTTCATTTCTCAAGTAACAGATGTTAAGACAATACCATATAAACATAGTGCTCATTTTGGAGTTATTGCTGGGTCTTTTTTATGTCAACTTGATTTTTATGTTTATAGTAACCAATACAGATAACTACTGCAAAAATTTATGAGAAAAATAACACTACACAGTATTTATGTTTTAGGATAACTCCATCTGGGCATGTTTTTCCGGAAAACTTACAAAGAAAAAATTGACATCAAACTTTTCATGATTTTTATAGGCCTCTACTACAATGAGAAATTTTGAGTAGATACTCTAAACAGTCTTAAATACATAGCATTTCTCCCCAGTGTGACTCTTTCCATATATTTGATAGTACCTATGTGTACTGCTTTTCCAGACTGCTTAAATATGGTTTCTCCCAGGTGTGAGTTTGTTTAGGTTTACAAAGTTGTTAGTAAATACCTTCCAACATTGACTTACATAAGGTTTCATCTGAATGTGAGGTTTTTTGTCAACAAAATACTTAGAAAATCCTCTCAAATGGCTTGTGTACATATGGTTTCTGATTGGTGTGACTTCTTTCATGTCTTTGACAATTGCTGTGTATAAAAAATGCTTTCATAATTGGTTACATTTGTAGGGTTTCTCCCCAGTGTGAATTCTTTCATGTATTTTCCAATTATCTGGGTGCAGTGAATGCTTTCCCACACTGTTTACATTCACAGGGATTTTCCCCAGTGTAACTTCTTTCACGTATTTTAAAACTGTGTGTAGTCAATGCTATCCCACATTGCTTGCATAGGATTTCTCCCCAGTGTGACTTCTTTCATGTATTTTACAACTGTTGTGATTACTGAATGCTTTCCCACATTGTTTACATTCATAGGGTTTCTCCCCAGTATGAATTCTTTCATGTATTTTAAAACAACTATGTGTAGTGAATGCTTTCCCACATTGCTCACATACATAGGGTTTCTCCCCGGTGTGAATTCTCTCATGTCTTTTACAAGTATTGTGAGCAATGAATGCTTTACCACATTTCTTACATTCATATGGTTTCTCACCAGTGTGAATTCTTTCATGTATTTTCCAATATTCAAGTGTAGTGAATGCTTTCCCACACTGGTTACATTTATAGGGTTTCTCCCCAGTGTGAATTCTTTTATGCATTTTAAAACAACTGTGTGTAGTGAATGCTTTCCCACACTGGTTACATTGATAAGGTTTCTCTCCAGTGTGAATTCTTTCATGCACTTTCAAATAATTGAGTGTACTAAATGCTTTCCGACACTGGTTACATTCAAAAGGTTTCTCACCAGTGTGAATTCTTAAATGTATTTTAAAACAACTGTGTGTAGTGAATCCTTTCCCACATTGGTTACATTCATAAGGTTTCTCCCCAGTGTGACTTCTTTCATGTATTTTGCAATACCTGTGTGTACTGAATGCTTTCCCACATTGGTTACATTCATAGGGTTTCTCCCCAGTGTGACTTCTTTCATGTATTTTCCCACGATAGAGTGTAGTGAATGCTTTCCCACATTGCTTACATTCATAGGATTTTTCCCCAGTGTGAATTCTTTCATGTCTTTTACGATAGCTGTGTGAAGAGAATGCTTTCCCACATTGCTTACATTCATAGGGTTTCTCCCCAGTGTGACTTCTTTCATGTATTTTTCCATGAGAGAGTGTAGTGAAGGCTTTTCCACATTGCTTACATTCATAGGGCTTCCCTCTAGTGTGACTTCGTTCATGTCTTTTACAAGAGCTATGTGAGGAGAATGCTTTCCCACACTGCTTACATTCATAGGGTTTCTCCCCAGTGTGACTTCTCTCATGTATTTTCCAATAACTGTATGTACTGAATGCTTTCCCACATTGGTTACACTCATAGGGTTTCTCCCCAGTGTGAATTCTTTCATGTCTTTGACAACTATTGTGTGTACTGAATACTTTCCCACATTGCTTACATATATAGGCTTTTTCCCCAGTGTGAATTCTTTCGTGTGTTTTCCAATATTTTGATGTAGTGAATGCTTTCCCACATTGCCTACATACATAGAGTTTATCCCCAGTATGAATTCTTTCATGTATTTTCAAATACTTGGTTCCAGTGAAAAATTTCCCACATTGCTTACATTCATAGGGCTTTTCCCTAGTGTGACTTCTTTCATGTCTTTGCCAATAATTATACGTAGTGAATGTTTTCTCAGATTGTTGACATATATGTGGATTCCCCCCAACCTCACTACTTTCATGAATTTCACTGGGTATACCACAGACTTTCATATTTTTCTTACATAGAAAGGTCTTCATTTCAGGGTGAGCACTTTCACCAAGACCAGAGTAGACTTTCTCACATTGCTCATATTTATAGGGTTTTTCTACATCCTTTCTCCTTGCTTGCTTTAAAAAGGATTGGGAATCACTGCAGATGTTTCCAGGTTCATTACATTTAGGCAGATTCTCTTCATATCCCTCATACTCACATATTTTGGGTCCAGTGTGAGCTATGATGGGCACATATGGCAATGAATGACCAATCAGAGACTCTGCACAAGCAAAGCTTTCAGATGATTTTAAACCAGTTTCTTTCATGTTCCAATTAGTATCTGGAGTTTCCAGGAATATTTCTTCACGTTGATTCCAAGCTTTGTATTCATAGCATTTCTCTACTTCTTCATTCCTTACATTTTGCCACCAACTTTTGTATGCGACATCAATATCCTGGTTATCCCATGTTGTTCCTATAGCAGCCATATTCATAAAGGTTACCCACATCACCTCTCTATAGAGTTTCTTTTGAGATGGATTCAGTAAAGTCCACTCTTCCATGGTGAAAGTCACAGTTACATCCTCAAAGGTCACTACCTCCATTGCATGGCTTGAGGGTCTCCCAGGATCCTTCCAATGCAGCCCACAGCCTGTAGAAATCACAGAAGGTAGGTGGTATTTCTAAGAAATGTATTCAGAATGTGCATGTTGGTACCAGGACATTACTGGGACTCTACAAAGAGTTACATTAGATTATAATTCCCACTTACACAGTTGCCTAGCTGAGTATCCTTTTTATACATTCCTTGACCTTATAAAAACCTTACTTTCTAAGTATGTAAAATAGAGATAACAATAAAATGTATATAATATTTTGAGTAATACCTGGCATTAAGGGAAAAATTCAATTATTTGCCACCACCATTACCAAGCAAGGTCTATGAGAAGCAATATTACCTGTTCCTTGCACTGAATATAACAAAAAACTCTGGATGGAATGCATGTAGCAGCAGCTATCTGAGGACTAAAATGTGACTGGGCCAAGGTAGATTAGAGCCAGAAAACAGACTCCAGGCCAGCAAAAACAATCTCATTGTGTCTCCTAGTTTTGCTGTTTACTTGGACAATCTTCCTTTGCTTTTCAGCTTTGCTTCCAATCTCACTTTTCATGTCTCTTTTTTTTCCTTCCTGTTCCTTCTAAATTATCTCCCTCAAGGTTAAAATAGATCTAATAAGAGCATTTTTACTGTATATAATTTTCTGATTGGTTTTATATTTTGTTTATGATTAAACTTGCACCTATGGTTAGAAGTGGCAAATTAACAGTTATCAGTTTATCACTTTCTAGATTGCGCTTCATGCTACTATTATTACTGCTTTTACTACTTTAGGGAAATCACATAGTTGTTGAGATCAGTTGTTCTAGCTTGTGTGCCAATAGCAGCATTGTCTGTTGGTCATAAACAACAGCAGAATTGACTACCAAAGAATTAGGTGCTAGGGCAAAAAGACACCAACTTTTAATCCCTAAAAATGCAAAGAAGTAGGATCTTAGGGCAGACTCACAAGCTAAATGCTAGCTTGGTTTAGGTGACACTTCTGAAAAGTAATCAGTTCCTAAGAGGTCTTTATAATAGTGATAAAGCTACCTACCACAAGCAGTTTAGAAACATCAACACACACACACACAAAAAAAAAAATATAAAATGAGAAAACCTGAAAGCAAGATGCAACCCTATGCCTCTTGCTCACTAACGCAAAACCAGTGGGATTGAGCTACCCAGCTGGACTTTCTAAAATGGTAGCAGAAGTAGCAAAGCACATGAATGAGCCCCTAGAATAAAACAAATCAGAAATAATTACAGTTTACTAAAGTGATTATCAATAAGATAAGGACACAGCTAGTAATTCTAGAGGAGATAAAGATTAAGAAAAAAATAGCTGGGCTTGATGGCACACACCTGTAATCCCAGCACTGAGGCAGGAGGATCATTGCAAGTTCGAGATCAGCCTGGGCTACACAGTGAGCTCAAGGCCAGCCTGAACTGCACAGTGAGACCCTGTCTCAAAAAGACAAAGAAAAAAAGAAAAAAAAAATTAGAAGAACTTAGGAAAGTGATGGAAACAATAAATGTGCAACACAAGAAAGAAGTATAATGCATAAAACAGTTATAGAGGATAGTAAATACTATTGAAAGTATATGCCACAAAATTAAGCAATATGAAGACAGAATATCAGATCTAGAAGACGGGTTTATAGTTAGCAACCACCACATGAAAGACTGTTTTTATGGTTCGTTGAGACTGGGTCTCATCATGTAGTGCAGGCTGGCCTTTCACTCACTTTATGTAGCCACTGGCCTCCAACTCATGGCAATCCTCCTGCATCAGCCTCCTGACTAATGCAATTACAGGCATGCACCACCCACTTGGCACATGGAAAGACTTCTTAAAAACAGCAAGGGACCACAAAAAAAATCAATCCAATGGCTGATAAGTGATGCACAGATGAATAACAGAAGATTAATTAGAATCAGTGAAAAATCAGAAGATAGCAAAAGGTGAAAGAAAAAAAAAGTTCACAAAATAATAGAAAACTCCCCAAATATGGACAAAGAATTTAACTAACAGGCAAATGAGGCACATAGAACCCCAATTAACCATGATCACAAAAAAAACTATAGCAAGAAATATAATAGGATTACAGAAATTTAACAAAACATTAAAAGCTATTCAAGAAAAGAAACAAGTGAAATACAAAGAAAACACCACAATCACACATACTTCTTAACACAAACCCTAAATCAAGGAAAGCTTGGAGTGAAGTCATTCAAGCCTTAAAAGAAAAGAACTTCCAACTAAGATTTTTTTTGTTTTGTTTTGTTTTCTAGTACTGGGAATCAAACTCATGACCTCGCACTTGCCAGGCAGACACTGTGCCACTGAGCTAAATCCCAGCCCCAACCAAGACTGATGTACCATACAAAATCACTTTTCAAAACTGATGATAGAAATGAAATACTTCCATAATAAAGAACACCTGAAGAAACTCATGACCATCAAACCAACACTCCAAAAAGTTCTGAAGGCTATTCTAAAAAAAGACAATGAGGACAACAATTCCATGAATCACAACAGAATGAATCCACCAGAAAAGGCAAGCAATTAAATAAAAAAGGAACCAATAAAAAGAAATTAATGTGACAAGGATAAATCAATACATATCAGTTATCATCATCAATGTAAATGGTCTCCATTCACCAATCAAAAGAAAGAGACTGAGAGAATAGATCAAGAAAGAAGACTGAACAATATGCTACATAGAAAAAACACATTTAACTCAAAAAGAAATTTACAGACTGAAAATCAAAGGATGGAAAACAATACTCCATGTGACAGGAACTTAGAAAAAAGCAGCACTGCCTATTCTACTTGCATAAAGTGGATTTTAAACCAAGATTATTGAAAGGAGACAAAGAAAGTCACTATGTACACGTTAAGTGAATAATCCAAGAGGAACCTATAATAATTATAAATAGATACGCACCACATACTTTTATATAATGGAATATTACTCAGCTGTAAAGAAAGATAAACTTGAGGCTTTTATAGGCAAATGGTCACAACTAGAGACCATACTCATAAGCGAAATAAATCAAACATACATGTGCAAGCACCGCATTGTTTCTCTAGTGTAAAGCCTGAAAGAGTTAATTTAAACTAGGAGATATGACAGACATTGGGAATTGATAGGAAAGCACTCATAGGTAAAGGATAACTGGAATATGGGAAAAGAGAAGGGAAAGAAGGAGAAAGTTTGTATATATGTATATGCAGGATAGTTAACACAGGTGTTCTACTGTCCTGTATTTCCTTGCTGAAAGAAACTGTCAGTGAGGCATTGGTTGATTAGCTTTGTAAGTCTATATGTGTTTTCATGAGAAACTACATTGAAGATATCAATATGTAATACAATAAGCATTGTTAATTCCCTACCGCTCTGTTTGTAACTCTGTAATGTCTGTACTGATCCTTTGCTATTTTGTAAAACATTGTCCATCTGTTACTATTTTCCTTTTATTTCTAAAATAAAAAAAAAAGATACGCACCACATACTGATGCCCTCAAGTGTATAAAGCAAATACAAATTGATATGAAAAATCTGATAAGCACCAATACAACTGTAATGGGCGACTTCAATACCCCACTGTCATAAATAGACAGAGCATCTAGACCAAAAAAGAACAAAAAATATCACAGCTAAAACAATGCTTGAATAAGTGGACTTAATAGACATCTACAGAGTGTCTCCCCTACAAAAACAGCAGCATATAGGACTTTCTCCAAAACAGACCATATATTAGCCCATAGAACATGCTTAAGTAAATGTGAAAGAATAGAAATTATAGCACGTATGTTATCAGACCATAGTGAAGTGAAATTACAAATCAATGGCAAAAGAATCCACAACAGTTACATAAAAACCTGGAAATTAAGTAATCCCCTCATAAGCAACCAATGGGTCACAGATGAAATTATGATATTAAACAGTTTTTACAATTAAATGATAATGCCAATATGACATACCAGAAGTTATGGGATGAAATGAAAGCAGTTCTATGAGGAAAATTTATGAAAGTGAATTCCCCCATTTGAAAAACAGAGTAAGATCAAATAAATAACCTAATGTTGAAGTTCAAGAAACTAGAATAAGAAGAGCAAGTCCAGCCCAAAATCCATACTAGGGAGGAAACTATAAAGTTCATAGTAAAACTTCATATAATCAAGACTAAGAAAAGAGGCACCCATGGCAGACAGGAGGTCCTCACTCAAAAGTCCCAGCAACTGCTCTAGCTCGGGGGGGTGGTGGGGTGTGGGGGGATGGGGGGGTGTGGCCCCTCCCTGGGCGCACCCTGTGCCGACTGAGCCAGCACTCCAACGGCTGCTGGTCCCGCGGTTCGAGTCTGTGCTTTACTTCCACTGCCACAGTTCCCAGCTGAAACTTCCAGAGAGAGCCAGGTATTTCCCATCTACTTCCTGGGGGCAGAGCGGGCAACCAAGGACCCCGCTGCTCTGTAATTTCCCAATTACAGACTGAGTCTCTGCCCTCCATGCATCCACGGCAGACAGGAGATCCTCACTCAGAAGCCCCAGGGACCGCTCTAGCTGGGGGCGGGGGGGGGGGTGCATG